GAAGTGATAGAAGTACAGACTGATACTTGATATGTATATTGCTGATCCAAATGTCATGAGTTTGTGTTATTAATGATCTAATTTTTCAAAATGGTGAACAGCTCTTGATAAAGCTACAGAAACACAAGGTATAAAATCCTCCCAATCATAGAGAATTTAGCACTGGAGATGAAATTCTGGGAATCACGTAGAGGTTAATCTAAACATTATAAAACATCAAACAAAAATCAACAAGATTAAATTTAAGAGGAATAAATATAGGATCCTCATGGCTTTTCACTAGAATCTACTTATAAGTCATGACTAGGCAGCAGTCAAACAGGAAAAAAAAAAAAGGCAGGCCCAACTTGGTATAATTCAGTTGCTTAAAAATAAGCATGCTGTCTTGACAGTATATTAGCAGTATGATGTCCTGGCCATGGGTGGTTCAGGCGCATGTACAAAATACTGCTGAGGGTTCAGTTTGGGAGCCAGACTATGGAGGTGTAAAGGAAGTTGAAAGAACCACTGGAAAGAAAAGTTAATGTTACCAAGTCTAGGTTTAAGAAACAACAACCATAAAGGAGGAGTAGTTTTCCAGATAATTTAAAGATTGCAATTTTTGGAAAAAGAGAAAATAAGTTTGTTCTCTGTATCTATAGAAAGTAGATCTGGGACCCTTTCCTGAGAGTTAGAAGAAAGTAGATATTGAGCAGTCAACACATACTTGCTTACCCTTTTTCAGTGATGGTGTAAATAGAATGTGCTGGAGATAGTTAGGTGGTTTCTCACAACTTTTCTAGCTCTTGAATGAATGTGAGTAGACTCCGCCAAGTACACGTTTTGGTTTCACAGCCAAACAGGTTCCCAGTTTCTAGCAAGACTCAAGGAAGATTCCATTGGACCTGTACTAACTAGACATTTGTAGTTACCCAAAAGTAACTGAACTCAGTTGGGTTAGGGTTAGGGTTAGGGTTAGGGTTAGAAAGAAAATCCCAACTCTGAAGAGACTATAGAGGGAAAGCTGATTTGTAGGTAGTTCACCCTGGTCAAATCATTCTAAAAATAATTCTGCTTTTTTAAAGTTATTAATGTGCCAGAAAAGAAGTCTCCTGACTTCTCAGTTTCTCATGCCATAACCCCCACTCTGTAGAAAAAAATCTTCCTTTGGTAATGCTTTCTGAAACAGGGCTCTAGAACAGAGTTTTTCACCCAGGGTTGGTTTATGAAGTCCTTGAAGTATTTCTGAAATATTCTGGTTGTATACATTTTTCTAAGAGGGGCATTGGCATTCATTAGATTCCCAAAGGGTTATATCTTTTAAAATTAAGAATCAAGTTAAGTGGTCCTTTTCTTAACTAAGGCAAATCTCCCTTTTTTTCCTTTTTATAGTGAATGTCTTTCAGCTGCCCTTAGTTAAATTCTTCTGAGGTATCAAAAGTTGTTTGAGGAGTAGGCTAATTGGAAAACTCCCTTAAGCTCCCTGCTTGGGCCTGTGACCCTTCTATTATGATCTTAGAATATCCTCTGCTTATTTCTGTTATAGCACTTGTCATGTTATATCAAAAGGCTCTGTTGATGAGACCATCTTCCATTATTGGCTTTGAAGGGTAGGCCTGTGTTATATTTATTTTTTAATTCCCAGCATTCAGCATCACACCAGGTATATGATGGATGCTCAAAAGTGTTGAACCATTTACCCATAATTCAACAGACTCTACTTTCCCTCCCGCAGCCTGTATATTTCAAGCGCTGACCCTGAGCCAGGTACTATGTTAGGCATCCATGCAGAGGGATTTTTGCCACCCACTCCAAACTGTATAATAGGACTGACCCCGCTGTAACAGCTATGAGTTTGTTCTTTCTAGTCTTCCTCAAAAACATTTTTATATGTCTCTTTATTTTTCTATTTTTTATTTATTTGGTACTGGGGATAGAATCCAGGGGTACTTAACCACTGAGCCACATCCCCAGTCATTTGTTATTTTTATTTTGAGACAGGATATCGCTAAGTTGTTTAGGGCCTCACTAGTTGCTGAGGTTGACTTTGAACTTGCAATCCTCTTGTATCAGCCACTGGAATTACAGGCGTGCACCACTGTGCTGGGCTCATAGTATTTTTTTTAGTTATTTATTTTTTATTATTCTAATTTGTTATATATGACAGCAGAATGCATTACAATTCACGTTACACATATAGAGCACAATTTTTCATATCTCTGGTTATATACAAAGTATATTTACACCCTTCATGTCTTCATACATGTACTTAGGGTAATGATGTCCATCTCATTCGACCATCTTTTTTACCCTCATGCCCTCTCCTTCTCCTCCCACCCCTTTTCCCTATTTAGAGTTCGTCTAATCCTCCCATGCTCCCCCTCCCAACCCCACAATGAATCAACCTCCTTATATCAGAGAAAAAAATTTGGTTTTTGGGGGATTGGCTGACTTCACTTAGCGTTATATTCTCCAACTCCATCCATTTACCTACAAATGCCATGATTTTATTCTCTTTTAATTCTGAGTAATATTCCATTTTCTTTATCTATTTATCTACTGAAGGGCATCTAGTTGGTTCCACAGTTATCTATTATGAATTGTGTTGCTATAAATATTGATGTGGCTGTGTCCCTGTAGAATTCTGTTTTTAAGTCCTTTGGGTATAGACTGAGGAGTGGGATAGCTGGATCAAATGGTGGTTCCATGCTCATAAGTATTTTTAATCCCATGGATTTGGGTTAGATTTGGCCCTATTTTCTTGAGCTACAAGCTACTGACTCCTAATTACAGGCTTTTCTCAGTGGTTGACAGGCAGGATTTGACTACAGGAGTCAAGGA